CCTGATCTAGAATGTTAAGATTTGCTACAGCTGTGCAAAATACTCAAATTTTGTGTCTTCTGGAGATGTTCTTGTAGTGTTTACATACATAAATGTTGTAGAACACACCCCAATTCAGTTTTTAAAAGGTGGTCAAGCTGGCTTGTTTAATAAAACAAAACAAAACAAAGTTGTTAAAAACCAATAGAAATAGATCCCCCCGAGTGGCAGAATGAAACAGATATGAAACACCAGAGAAGTGGTAGAATGCAGAATACTTTGCTGACAGGTGCTTTGTGGAATGAACACTATGGGAATTTTAAGGCTTGACCGGAGCCTATTTGTGAAAGTTGTGGAATATATGTGCTATATAAATGGCTATTATCTTCTGAAAAACTGCATGATATCTAACTAAATCATATGCAGAATGGACCCATTGGAATCAGTTGTCTTGAGTTATTTGTCTTGATTTCAATAGGTCTTTTCTGAGTTTGACTAATGTTGAATATCACCCCCCCGAGAAATAAAGATATGGAGGGTTTTACTGTATAAACCGCTAGATTTGTACAGAGAGTACCTGCCCTGGCCCTTGGTTGGTTGACTGGCTTCCTTCAAAGTTGACTTTCATGTGTTTTATTTCATATGGAAATAAAACACATTTGCTTGTAGGGTTCTGAATCCTGCTCAGTCAGAGGAAAACAATAAAGTACAGAGCTCATAGAAGGAACATAAGAGGCTACCCTATACTCAATCAGAACACTGGTCCATTAAGTTTGGGAATTGTCTACACTGACTGGAAGAGATTATCCAGGGTTTCACTCTGGGGATATTCTCTACCTGAACATACTGGGGATGGAACATGGGGAAATGTTCTGCCACTGAGCTATGACACTTCCCCAATTAACTAGAAACACATTTTAAAGGTTAGATCCCTGAACTGCAATGCATCTTCTAGAAAGACATAAGGCTAACTTACCAAAAGAAAACTAAAAATCAATTATTGGTATTCCAAATCATCAATCTTCCCCATGAGAAATTAAGCAATGTGTGTGCTGTGATTTGAGTGTTCAATCATGGAACAGTGAGAAGTTTAGAATATTTTACAAATCACAACAGACCATCCATACTAACAATAAGTGTTTCAATAACATCTTGTGGGTTTTTTAATCAAGATTTTGCTGTGTATGTACCCAACTCTTCTCTTTGAAACAAGAAGACTCTGTTCAGAAAACATGCAGCACAGATACACATGGAACTCATTAAAATGAAAGCTAATGTAAATTAATCCAGCTGCCTGCTGAGAGCGCAGAGAGGAGAGAATTTGTTTATTTTGCTAATTGGGAAGTATTACAGCTTTCCAGGACCTTGGCAAGGACCCAAAGAGCTATTTAGGCATGCCTAAGGGCTTAAATGCCCAGTGAAGTTTTGGACTTTTTTTTTTTAAAAAAAGAAAACTTCTGATGCAAGGTTGATTATAAATATGATGCGGTGGAGTGATGTCTAAGAGGCACAAACCTAAAGCCCCCTTAATCATGTGATCCTTTGACCACTGAACTTTAAAGCTGCGATCCTACACACTGACCTTGGAGCAAATCCCATTAAATTTGATGGAGATTGCTTCTGAGTAGATGTGAATAAGATTACACTGCCAAGGGCATCCAACGACATAGCTATCATTATCATTATTTACATTTAGACAATTTCCAAAGTCATAACTTGTCAAAAACAAACAAACCCCATCTTAGGCAGACTATTCATCCTACTTTGTGATTTATGCATTTGTTCAGACACTACCATCAGGTAATCGTTTGTATGAATCAACACAGAAAGAACTTTTGTATCACCCAATGTATTTGGCAGAGTCATCAAGCATAGGGCAATTCAGGTGATGTACACGCAGCATGATTAATCATCATTCCCTCCATTATCAATGTTCAAAGATGAGTGTCATTCACAAGAGAGGCAACAGCAGGCTTGGGGAAGTATGAAAATTTTTAGGGGAAAAACCCTTAGGGGGTAGGGAAACCTCCCAAAAAGAGCTCAATGAAGATTGAGAGCAGCCATGAATTGAGGAGGGCGAAGTTATGGAATGGCTGGAATTCTGAACAGGAACACTCTACACTGTAACATTTTGTTGCAGTTTTGTGTTCAAATGTGTGTTATAAAATGTGTGCATGCGTGTTAGTTTGTTTTCTATCTGCCTCTCACTCCAATCAAGTTACACATTTCCCCCTTTTTAGGATCACTGGATAACAGGTGGGGCATAAATCTTCAAAACAAACAAAGTTAAAGAACTGCAAATTACAGGCAATCCCATTGTTCAAAGGCAAATGAGTAATAAATAGTTATAGCTTAGCTAGTTTAATGATGAAATATAGAGTTGTAAAACAGCTCACTGACATCTAGCAGGTATTATGGATTCGTACATCCCAGAGCCATGCCCGTTGACTCAAGGAATAAGGCCCAGAGTTCAGAAGCATACACAATGCCTTGATCTTTATAACCTACATAGCAATATTAGTTTAAGTAGGACAGATAAACGAACACACTACAAGCCGAGTCACCCTTAATACTTGATAGGAGCAATTCTTTACATACCTTTTTGGAAGTCAGCTCTAGCAAGTTGGCTTTAAAAGAGGATTAGACAAATTCATGGAGAAGGCTCTTGATGGCTACTAGCCATGGTGCTTATGCTCTGCCTAGACAGGCTTCTGGTTGGCTACTGTGAGAACAAGATGCAGGACTAGATTCAGTAAGCCCTTATTTCCTAATAGAAGCTACTGCTTCTGATGGCTGTATAGTACCTTCAAGACAATAGGAAGCTGACTACCAGCTGCTGATAAGAAGGGACAGTGCTGTGTTGTCCTTAGGTCTTTATGTAGACTCCCTACAAGGTGAGTTAATGGTTTAACAGAAGTTACTTCTCATGAGGCCCGAGAGCCTGCATAGAATAGCAACAAACCTCTCCAGCCAGGCTGCACCTCTCAGTCAGCTCTCCTGGGTCGTGTTTCTCTTCAATATAGTGCATTGTTGTTGTTGTTGAGTCGTTTAGTCGTGTCCCACTCTTTGTGACCCCATGAACCAGAGCACCCCAGGCACTCCTGTCTTCCACTGCCTCCGGAAGTTTGGTCAAACTCATGCTGGTAGCTTCGAAAACACTGTCCAACCATCTCGTCCTCTGTCATGCCCTTCTCCTTGTGCCCTCAATCTTTCCCAACATCAGGGTCTTTTCCAGGGAGTCTTCTCTTCTCATGAGGTGACCAAAGTATTGGAGCCTCAGCTTCAGGATCTGTCCTTCCAGTGAGCACTCAGGGCTGATTTCCTTAAGAATGGATACGTTTGGTCTTCTTGCAGTCCATGGGACTCTCAAGAGTCTCCTCCAGCACCATAATTCAAAAGCATCAATTCTTTGGCGCTCAGCCTTCTTTATGGTCCAGCTCTCACTTCCATACATCACTACAGTGGTACCTCGGGTTAAGAACTTGATTCGTTTTGGAGGTCTGTTCTTAACCTGAAACTGTTCTTAACCTGAAGCACCACTTTAGCTAATGGGGTCTCCTGTTGCCACTGTGCCGCCGCTGCACGATTTCTGTTCTCATCCTGAAGCAAAGTTCTTAACCCGAGGTAATATTTCTGGGTTAGCGGAGTCTGTAACCTGAAGCGTATGTAACCCGAGGTACCGCTGTACTGGGAAAACCATAGCTTTAACTTTACGGATTTTTGTCGGCAAGGTGGTGTCTCTGCTTTTTAAGATGCTGCCTTGGTTTGTCATTGCTTTTCTCCCAAGAAGCAGGCATCTTTTAATTTCGTGACTGCTGTCACCATCTGCAGTGATCATGGAGCCCAGGAAAGTAAAATCTCTCACTGTCTCCACTTCTTCCCCTTCTATTTGCCAGGAAGTGATGGGACCAGTGGCCATGATCTTAGTTTTTTTGATGTTGAACTTCAGACCATATTTTGCGCTCTCCTCTTTCACCCTCATTAAAAGGTTCTTTAATTCCTCCTCACTTTCTGCCAATATAGTGCATACGTTACACAATTGTCCTCGTCTACCTTGTGGACTTTCCAGGTTAACTTCTGTGGGCAACAGGATGTTGGTTGGGCAGATCCAGCCTGGTTCTTCTTGGGTCAAGAGTGCATTAAATGGCAGCATTAAAAAAAAAGTCGCCTCCAAACAATCCACCCAGGGATTATTCATCATATATTGCTTGCTTGTCAGCTGCCGAGGGAATATTTAATATAACCTTAAAAAAAAGAGTTCTCCTTTTTATGGACAGGAGCCCAACGCAAAATAGTAACTTTCCAGAGGGCAAGCAACCACTCTTTCCGCCCTTTTCCTTCCACACAAACACACCCAGTGCCAGATTAACGTATAAACTAAACAAGCTATAGCTTAGGACCCCGCTGTCTTGGGGTAAGCTAAACAAGCTATAGCTTGGGACCCTACTGTCTTGGCCCCCCCCCAAAAAAAATTAAAAGAAAAAAAACTGGATGTACATTACTTAAATATAAGATAAAAATAAAACAAAATAAAACCTACATACAGCAACAGTGTTTTGTCTTGTGTAGGCTCCTATTTGTTATGTGCAAATGGCTTTAGATACCTATTAGGTCCATAAATTACCATAAAGCATATATTCAACACAAAAAACAGTGGCAATTTGTTGTTGACAAAGGACAGATGGACATATAAAGGGCCCATTACCTTCAGTAGCTTAGGGCCTCATCAAACTTAAACCCGGTCCTAAACACCCCCCTTCCCTAACTCGAATTAAATTCGCTCAGGATCGGACTTAAACTCCGACGGACTGCCGCTCGCGAGGGGAGCCCGCTGGAGCCCCCGCTTCCCGCGCTTCGCCTTCTCCGCGGGGAAGCAGCACGAGGCGACTCCGCGCGGCGCGCCGGCCCTTCCGAGCAAGGCGCCTCACGACGCCCCTCGCCAGCTTCTCTTCAGGCGGGCGGGCGGGCCGGAGGCGGGCCCAGACCCATGGCCCCTCCCTTCCCCGCCCTTGTGGCGCCAAGAGCGGACGCGGCGGGAGCGCTTCTTCTGCTGGCTCTCGGACGCACTCGGGCGCGCTCTCAAGAGCCGGGCGCTGCTGCGGAGGCTGCGCTGCGGCGGCGACCGTGGTGGTTGTGGCGACATGTGAGCGGAGTTTTTTGCGCGCCAACGCCGAGCGATGTACTCCGGGAATAGCAGCAGCCGCAGCAGCAGCCTGCAGCCGCCGACGCCGGGGGAGCAGGACTCGGAGCAGCAGCCCGTGCAGCCGCCGAATCCGGCGGCGGGGCCGCCGTTCAGCGCCAGCACCTACGAGCTGCTGGCGCTGCTGCTGGCCACCATCGGCATCCTGGGCTTGTGCAACAACCTGCTGGTGCTGGTGCTGTACGCCAAGTTCAAGCGGCTCCGCACGCCCACCCACCTCTTCCTGGTCAACATCAGCCTCAGCGACCTGCTCGTGTCGCTCTTCGGCGTCTGCTTCACCTTCCTCTCCTGCCTGCGGAACCGCTGGGTGTGGGACGCCGCCGGCTGCGTGTGGGACGGCTTCAGCAACAGCCTCTTCGGTAAGGGGGGCCGCGGGGGGCGAGGGCGCCTCTGGCCATGTGCAGAGAGACGGGGTCCAGGCGGGGAGAAGGCTGAAAGAGGAACTCGCTATATGCTCTCTCTTTCTCTCTGTGTGTGATTCCAAGTCTCTGATGTTCCCCAAGGATGCAGATCAACACTTCTATCTTTTCAATAAATGAATACAGTACTTAGGAGGCAAGAGAAGGGTCCCGTCCCCCTGGCAGCCCATTTCTCCCACTTGCGCCTCCCGGAATAACGGACTGCCCTTCCTCCAACCAGCTGGCCTCTCTCCTGTAATCCCTTCAGGTCAAGTCCTGTATGGCCTCCTTTTCTTCCTTCCCTTTCCTCGGATTATAATCACCGGACCCATAATGTGGTTTGAGAGTGAGTGCAATCCCCCTCACGTTCTGTCAAAATTAGATGATGCCTCTGAACACGTGCAGAGTGCACCTCTCACATTGCAGTGCTAGGAAATGGAGCTTCTAAGGAATCTGTAGCCTGAACGTTATTCTGGCAATATAGGTTTCTTTTGGCTTGAGCTAGAAACTGCCATAAATGCTGCACATCGCCCCCCCCCATCTTATTTTCCACTTCATGTCTGTGTTCCCTATCTGATTTGCTATGCTCATTCCTGGTCCTGCAGGTGGTGTAACTTTCATTTCACACCCAACCTTCTGATATGCAGATTTTCTCTTTTCTCCTCTAGCTTCTTTGGGGTGTCTTCCCATCTCATTACGAAGGGTGGGGTAGTTGTAGATCCATGAAACAAGAATTGTGTAGACACCAGGACATCTCTTTGCAGAACACTAGCTGAGCGATGGTACCTGATCACTTTGGTCTGCAGTGCTGTATGCATGGTCTTGCTTCTTATTTGTACAAGTGGTACTGAGGGTGGTGCGCCAGTTGTATAGATCTGCAGCGCCTTCAGGCTTATGTCTTTGTGGAAATGTCCACTTAGTGGGACTGAAAATTATCCCGCACTTCATTTTGCCGTGGAAGATAATCACTTTTGTAGGTACGTTAGTAACAAGAAAGGGATGCTGCTTGCAAATACAACATTAGGCAAGTCTGGCCATTTTGAAGTGCTTAGCCTTGTTTATTAAATAAAAGTAAAACAAACGTGCTAAATTAGACCACACTTTAGGGCACCAGAATATATTCTAATGCAAACTGAAAATTACCATATGCAAATTTGCATAGTTTTTTTTTCTGGAGAAAAATCCAGCTCAATTTTTTTTCCTTCCAGAAAACCCACATCACTTCATTCCACACAGTTCAGTGGCTGCTTCCTGTGTACTTTCTAGACCTCCTGTGTACACAATCCCAGGTGTGGGGAACCTTTGACCCTCCAGATTCTGTTGAACTAACACTCTCATCAACCCCAGCAAGAGTGGATAATGGCTTTCGATGATAGGAATTGTAGCTTAGCATCCTCTGGAGGGACAAAGGCTTGCCATTCCCTGTGCCGCATAGATCTAACCTCTCTCTCTGACCATCATTCCATTTTACAAACACCTCCAGTTTAGCATTACCCCACCAACACCCGTCCTTTCACCATATCTTTATTTTGCCAGGAACACACACCACACCTGTACGTGATCTAGGGCAAAAGGCCCCCCAGGAATAACTCTCACCACATTTATGATGCCACCGTCTTGCATCTGCCTCAATCTAGTCCCCACCTTCCCCACTTAAGTCTTGTGTCTTCATTTGCCCGCAGGCGCCCATAGTTCCTCTATCAGTCAGCTTCCATATCATGCATACTGTTTGTAAGTGACCTCTGCAGCTTCTGCTTGACAGCTGAACTTTTGCTTTCCCTTTAAATCCCTGCAAAAGCTCATCTTCTCTATGAGCCTTTTGACTTAATTCCTGATTGTCATTCCTAACTGTAGCTGATACCAAATCTTCCTCTCTACCCTTGTGTTGTTCCCCGCCTATGGCCAGTTATCTGTGTTAGGATGAAAGTTCCTTGCAAGCAAGTGATTGCCTTGTTGTTACCTATTCTACTCTGGAAGGCCCTTGTGTACACTGATGGTGCTGTATGTATCCTACTAATAACAGACTCAAGCTTTGAGCGTAGATCCTCAAGATCAGGGTATCAGCAGGCTTGGGGGAACATCAAGATTTCCACAGGTTTTAGATGCTTAAACTTTAGGGGGGGGGGAGCTCTTCAGGGGAAGGGAACCCCAAAATAGCCTAATGCTGACTGAGCATCCTCAGTGGCCATGGAATGCTGATTGACAGAATAAAATGGAAAACCAGGTGGATGGAGCAGGAGTGAGGAACCTGGATCCCACCAGATGCTGCTGGATGATACTCCCTCCCCCTCGAACTATTGACTGTGCTGATGGACTGCTGCTTCCTGACCCCAGGAATAGATGGGAGGGATGGCTGGAACCATTTTGCCTCATTTTGTTTTGGGTCCCACTTGTAAATAATTTCAAGGCAAAACCACCTGCATCATTCTCCATTTCTTTTCTAATCTGCTACTTCCTTGGCAATTCATCTTCATTTTTCTCGTCTTTTCCTCAGACCCATCAGATACGTTCCCACCTCCTTTCATTCATATTTCCTTGCATTTCTACAGCACCCAAGATGATTCACAACATCAGCGTTCAATCTATTGAGTACATTTTTCCTCATCTTCAGTTGATTCCCGCCCCCCCCCCATCCTGAAATGAATCACAGGCTGCAGCTGTTGTGATTCAGGTATCTCTATGAACCAAAATCACACAATTTTGTTTATATGTTTTCCTTCCCAAAGTGGAAAATGGGTGAAACTGCTGGAGAACAATTCAAACAATGCTAGTGGAAATTTGCTTCCCCTTTTCTGAAGCCATTTGCAGAGACATGTAGTCATTAAACTACATTTAAATAGGTGTCTTCAGTAAAACGGAGTATGCCTTTTAATTCATTAAAACACACACATCCCCAGGTAAGATAGCTATCTCCAGATTTCTTACATTCACTTGACATGCCAGGAGTCTAGCTATTTTTGTAGAAAAGCTAAAGGTACGTGCACAAGGAAGCCATTTGTGATGACACATGTACCACATCGCTGGAAAGCAGTCACAACCTCCTCCTAACTCCTGTGTGTTTCTATGCCTGGCGAATTCCTTTTGAAGGAATTTAAGAGCCAAAGCATTTCCATGAAAGCAGGGCTGGTGTCACAGAGTGGTCCTCCTGGCCTCAGTCTGTGGGTCCCAGGCAATACCCCATACCAGCTCTGCTTTGCACAATATCTGAGTGTTTTGGCCTGGCTGAAATGTGTCCTGATGGTGCTTCCTTCTTTCCTGGATGGAAGATAAAGAGGGTTGTGTGTGTAGAATCTAGTTTACTGCACAGAGGTAAAATTAACACTTGATGGTTTGCCCACGGTTGCCTCTGACTTTGGTTGCTGCTGGTAGCGGTGGAGCACGCCGATCAGGCGTCTGGGACGGCATGCGTCCCCAGCCGTCTGCAGGGGTGGGGCCAGCCAGGACGAGATGCTCCGCGGGGCCTCTGGAGTCTGCCTGCCTCCTCCCACTCAGCTACCCTACAGCTGGCGGGGTGGGTAGGCAGCGGGTGGACCGTTTGGGCAATGGGGAGCCTGTGTGCGCCCAAGTCACCATGTCTTTCCCAGGCTCGGGTGCGCTGCAGGCCCCATGGTGGGTGCCGCCCAGCATTTTGTCCCCCCCCCGAGTGGTGACACCTGGGACAGCCTGCCCCCACTGCACCCTGCTTCCTCCACCCTTGGCTGCTGGTGTGCGGCCCCCCAAAGATTGGGGCTTCCCATTCCTGATGAAAAGCCTTAATTTTTTTTTTAAAAAAATGCCAGCAACATGATGGCTGCATGCACATAATATTGGAGGTTTCCGTACCCAGGGAATAGATTCCTCCGAGGGCTGTTCGCACACAGCTGGGCATCACTTGGTTTCTCTACAGTCAGTTATTCTTGGGCATTCAGAAGCTCCACATGATGCATTTGTTGTTTGTGTGTGTAGGGAGTGGGGAACCTGTGGCTCTCCAGGTATTGGTGAATGCTAGTTCCCATAAGCCCTGCCAACATGCTCAGTGGTCAGGGTCCCATTGAAACAAATGTGATTTGCACAGACCATCTTCAAGCTCATGTGCAAATAGGTTCTATGGGCCTGCTAATATAGGAACTTAAAGGCGAAGTCCCTGATTCTCACTAAAGGTTATCTGCAGGGGGAAGGCAGCTCAGCTAAGCCTTGCTCCTTCACTCATTCATAATCTATATTCCCAATCCATGTGTCAGCTGGTGCTCATTCTAGGCAAATACATTTATGGATGCTGTCTTGGAGTGCTGTTGCTTTCACTGCCTTAATTGGAGTTGTCAGCTTTTAAAAAATGCTGCATGGTACCTAACACTTTATCCTCAAAAGGACTCAATCTCTTCTTGTACCATTCAGAAAAGCACAAATTGTTCTAATGTGCTATTTTCTGCATTGTGGCAAGAAGCCGTCATCTCCAAGCCACAACTCTCTTTAGGATGTATCTCAACTGCTTTTTGACAGTCATACATCGGAAAGGAATTAAGTCCCTTCTTAGAAATCTCATTTAAGATAGACATCTGACTTCTGATTGTTGATCGGTTGGAATGCAACATTGGCATCTGCCGGAAGTTCAGCTGCCCACTTAAAAGAGGTGCACACCTTATAGTCCAGGAACATATCATACAGACTGGTGCAAGTTAAGGCTGCGGTTGTAAACACAGTTGCAAAGGGGGTAAACCCAATGGAATGCAGTAGGAGTTGCTTCCAGGTGAGCAGGTGGAGATTTGTGCTACTTGCCTTTGGAAAATAAGAAAATAAACCCTCTGACAACAGTAATGAAGGACACTGTGGCAGTGCTTTTATAATGAATGCAATTCATATAAACAACAGTTGCAGTGACCCAAGTTTATTCATCTTTCCTTGGTTCCTGGCACATGACTGGACATTTAAATAATGTTGATTCTGCTCTCAAATATTTGCCATCCATCTGACGTCTTTGAGATTAACTTCAGCAAATAGAAGTGGGGAAACACAGCCAGTTTACTCTTTCAGGATATGCTGCAGGGTGTATGGATACCATATTGAATCATTTTTTTATGAATCATTTTACATGTAATCAGCCATATTGTAAGATGCAACTTGACGGCCAGTGGAGGGAGACAAAGCTTTCATCTTCACATTGAAAACAATTCAAGGACACTTTTCACTATTATTTTTTCTTTTGAACTTAACTGACATGGGGAACAGCTTCTGTTTGTTTAAGGAAATGTTAATAATTTGAGTTAAAGAGGACTGCAAGGATCCTAACCATCATCCCCACCCAATCTCTTGTGCTAAGGTGGTATCTTCCATGCTGCACTTCTCCCATCCATTAAGTTCCTCATCTCAACTGTTACTCAATTTCTGCAATTCTAAAATCAGTGATCAGCTGCCCCGTGTCAAATGTGCCTTTCTGGCTCAGGGGTCCATTTAGAAAAGGATCCAGGAAGCATAAGCCAGTAAATTAGGTACTGTTAAATAACCAAGTTCTTTCGTAAGGATATAAAGGCCAGTTTTACGAAGTTGTATTTAGAAAGTAGGTCAGTATGTACACACAGGCACAGTGATGCGTAAAATTAACTTTCCCATAGAATTTTTCACTTAGTTGGTTTTTGCAGTCGAAGAGTGGTAGAGCAGCATCTTTACATTGCAGAACGGAAATAGAAAGGTGGACATAGCTGTTCGCTAAATCCAAAATTGAGTCTCCTGCTTTAATGCATTTTTTCCTACTGCCATACAGCTAGAAAATCACTTCTGTTGTGTCACTCTATTCAGGCCTGACTGCAGGAGCAGTAAGCTGAGGTGCTGAGGGAGCCAAAAGGTGGTAGGGGGTTGCACAGGCATGCATCCGACACGGCTTTTGGCCCATGGGCTGCATGGCACACCTTGCTCTTTTTCCCATTTGGACCCAACTATTCCTTCAGCTTCTGCTAATGATGCTGGACCGGTCATATGCAGAATCGTACTGTTGGCATTGGCGGGCAGTGACCCTCCAAAGTTGTAGACAGGGGCTTTTTCAGCCGTACCTGGAGATGCCAGGGATTAAACCCGGAACCTTTTGCAAGCGAAGGAGATGCTCTGCCGCTTTCTGGAATTTGGAGGTGGGTGTGGCAAAGTGCATGCAACGCTACTGAGAGAATGAGGAATTAATAACTGCAAAAGGGGCTATCTTCCGTTCCAAGGTAGCAGGGGAAAGAAAGATCCCTAGGTGCTGTTTGTGTTGCTTGATAAGGAGGTCTGCATCTCAGTTGTGTTCTGTTTTAAAATAAGCTGTTAAGTTCCTTTAGTAAGTAGTCACATCTCTTCTTACTGGAAGCCTGAGGGTACCTCCAATTCTACCACAGGCTTTTCTTTTTTGAAGGCTTCATTTCCAACTTCCAGGGGTGACTTGGGCTGCACTCACATGGCAGCTTATTCCATTTCCCTCCATTCTAAGTTCTGCACTATATTTGAGCTTTCACGTGAAACAAAATGCACTTGCAGAAATATAGCACACGTTTAGTGCTCATTGCCATCTTATTTGCTTCCAGAAAAAAAAGCTTGTACATAGCATGGAAATGCGTGCTAAACTTGCCCTATGTTGTTGTTGTTTAGTTGTTTAGTCGTGTCCAACTCTTCGTGACCCCATGGACCAGAGCACGCCAGACACTTCTGTCTTCCACTGCCTCCCGCACTTTGGTCAAACTCATGCTGGTAGCTTCAAGAACACTGTCCAGCCATCTCGTCCTCTGTCATCCCCTTCTCCTTGTGCCCTCCATCTTTCCCAGCATCAGGGTCTTTTCCAGGGAGTCTTCTCTTCTCCTGAGGTGACCAAAGTATTGGAGCCTCAGCTTCAGGATCTGTCCTTCCAGTGAGCACTCAGGCCTGATTTCCTTAAGAATGGAGAGGTTTGATCTTCTTGCAGTCCATGGGGCTCTCAAGAGTCTCCTCCAGCACCATAATTCAAAAGCATCAATTCTTCGGCCATCAGCCTTCTTTATGGCCCAGCTTTCACTTCCGTACAGCACTACTGGAAACATGCCCTATATTCCACTGTATCTCTGGAAATGACTTTTTTGTCATGTGAAAGTTCAAATATAATGCAGAAATTAACAGTTTGGGAAACTGGAATAAACTGCTATGTGGATGTAGCCTTGAATTGGCATTTCTTTTTGCGCATTAGACTTCATTTTCCCATTCAGCTTCCAGTCAGCGGATTTAAGGTGGCTTACATGTTTGAGCATATCAGGATGCAGATTACAGCGTGTGGCATATCATTTCTTTGCCATGTATCTGGATTGTGACTGATTTCAAAAAATCTGGGCAGTGGGATTGTTAGTAAAAATCTTTCCCTCAGAATCAGTGCTTACTATTAGTTCCATATAATGGTGAGCCAAGAAAAGGTTGTTGCCTCATTGCCTTACTTCCGTGTTGTTCACTTAATATTTGAAGTGAAAACAACTATTTCAAGTATGATGCATGTTGTTCTTCTCTTCAGTGACATGTGTAACCATTGCATGGTCCCTACTTTGTTCTCTTCTTTTGCCAGCTTTTGTTGTTAATGGATGAGACACTGCTTTATTATTATCATCTGAAGAGTGCTTGGAACCAGCATGGTGTATTAATTAGAGGGTTGGACTAGGACTGTGTGGATGCAGGTTCTGGTCCTCAATCAGCCGTGAAGCTTGCTGGGTGCCTATGGGCCAGTCTCCTTATTTGGACGTAATGCAAAACATTATGCCAGTCCTCCTTCAGCATGGCTACAAGGATGAGTTCAAAAGCTTTTCTTTTCATTTTAGGTTAACCACAGATTGTGACAGCCTCCATACTAGGAGAAACCTGTTCATCTTAACTCTGGCTTGCTAAAACAAATTCAACTTCAGATCCCAGTTTATGAAGCCAACTTGTTTTAAGATCAACCACAGTTTAGAGTGCAAATGACATACTAAACCACAGTTAATCTAAAACATGCTTAATGATGCTGGAGGAGGAGAGGGCAGAGCTTGTGAGCCCACTGGATGATAAGACAGCTACATCTTCAAGGTAGAATCAACAGGACCTATTCTCTGTTTTGGCAGTGGAGGAAAACATGCCAGAAAGCACAGAACGTCTTTTGCCCCATGCCTATGAGCAAGCACCTTTGAGCAGTAGGAGCTATCTACAGGAAACAGTTCTCCAGCAATGATTTCTGCAGTCAAGTCACTGTGCACTGTAAATAGCTGCCTGGTTACTCTTAAGGACAAAGTGTATTGCAGTTAGAAACTGTTCAGTCTAATGATTTTTGCTTGCAGGAATCAAGTGAAAAGGTAACCTATGGAACTAGGCCTGTTTGTCCACTGTATGTAGGGCAGTACTGTATTGCAGCCATATACAGAAATGGATTTCTGTGTGTCCTTTACCCGAGTACTCTGCAGAGGTCTAAGCCAAGGCATTAATATGGGGGGAAAGTAAAGGGATTTCAGAAAAGCCAGGGAAGTCCAGAAGCCAAAGGTAGTGCTCAGTTGTTGACGTACGGAATTTAATTGGGCATGGCTTTCATTGAAGCCTGTAGAGCACTGCTTGTGTTGGATGACTGGGCTATATTTAGCTCTGGCATCTTTAAGCCTTGGGAAGCTTTGGAGCATTAAGAGAGGTGCTGGCAGCAAGCCTTGTGCAGCCTTCAATCTTTAAACTAAATGAGCGCTGCTCCACCAAGAAGAGGACACTGAGCTCCCCCAAACAAGTGCCAGCTTCTTTTTCTTGGTTGTGATACATATCTAGTCATTCAAACCTTAAGCTAGAGCTCCACATTTACAAACGCTGTCTTACTAACAATAATTTCAGGGGAAGGCATTTCATAGAGTTGGAAGGGACCCCAAGGAACATCTAGTTCAACTCCCTGCAATGCAGGAATATGCAGCTGTCCCTTATGGGGATCAAACTTGTGACCTTGGCACCACACGCTAACCGACTGAGCTGTCCACGGGAGAAAAGCGGTGGTCAAGAGATGAGGGTTCTTAGCTTTTCCCCCAACTTCTGGTTCTCTCAGACAACCGCACTGTTTCCCCACTCCTAATGTTAGAATGAGTGTTCTTTGTGATAGTTGTAGGTGGAATTGGGAGAAGTGTCCAGAGGGTGGGGTAGTGGAGGAGAATTGGTGCATGGCGGAATGATTATTCACATCCCGCCATGGCTGCTCCATGCTGGATACAGCAGCAGCTGCTGAATCTCTCTCTGCCATGCATTATTCGAAAGCACTGAAACCAGAGAGGACAGAGATGGCAACACGCAGAGGCAGAGCTGGATGCTTTTTAGGCAACAGCAGGCAGAGTGTGTGGAGCACCCATGGCTTCTCAACGCTGTTGCTTACTGAGAGCTTACTCAACACGGTGTCGGCACAGCAGTGGAGCCAGTTTGACGCTGCCTCTCTCTTCCTCTCGGTAGGAAGCCAGGTGAACCTGTCTCCAGATTTTGGGCTGGGGAGTTATAAAAACTTGAATACAATCCATAAAGCCACACCTGGACTGCCCTCAATTTTATCCTAACCTTGCCCTCCACCCAATCTTTTAAGAAAAGTTGTAAGTAGCTAAGGGGGCCAGCAGTAAAGGCATGGGGGCTTGGAGAGGCAAAGGAAGTACCAAGGGCACTGTTTTGAGACTGGGACTCCCCCTCCCTCCCTTGCTTGCTTCTGTGAGGTGTTTTGCCCTAGCAGCCACAGAGTTGATATTTGTGGTGGGTGCTAGCATCTGGCTATCTACAGCAGGATGTTTGTAATAGTTCTGGGAAGGTGCCTTCTTGTGCTTCCAGTTTGCCCTAACAATCTGGCCTTGCACCAAATGGCACCCAGCTGAGATTCATTTTTGGTGCCCCCCTCCACCCCCAAAGTTGTTCAGCTTTTCAATTTTGTATCACAGTTGTCGCCTATTTCGTGACTTTGGTTTTCCATTTTGTGTGCGTGACTTATCTTTGTCATAAAAGATGATGAACCTGCATGCCGGTATCTGAAATTCTGTGTTTATTCATACCACATGAGCTGTTTGTGCTGCTTCTTTCAGCTGGCGAGTGGAGGGTTGAGTTGATAGACCATGACAGATGCTTCCAAGCATGGGGCTACAGGCAGTCACCTGCCCCTGTGCACTCACCCATGCACAGGGCTAGTTCAGCACATACGAATGAACTGAGAAAAGATGACTCATCTTGACTTCAGCATGTAAAAAGTGGCTGTTTGCATTTGCCTTTACTTAAATTTGAATGCCTGCTTCGTCAAGTGTGCCTTAATCGACTCATGAGCTCCCTACTGGGGCAAGGGGGCGGGGGGAATGTGCATCTTTCCTCATGTAGCAGATGATGCACATGCTTTGAAAACAGAACTTTGGGTTATTTTTTCACATGTTAACATGTTACTGATAGCAAGCAGGCTGCACTGGTTCATGTAGCTGCTTCATGTAAAGTTGGGAAACGGCCCAGACCCAGGATGCATAACCTTTTCAGCCATGACATTTGATGCTGGCGTATGTGCATGAGCATGCGCGCGCGCGCACACACACACACACACACACACTCCCACTGCGCATGCAGGGATGCCACCATCACTTGCCTCCTCTCAACTCCCCAGGTGGGAGTTGCTAGCAGTTGTGCTTGCCAGGAAAACATGGGGTGGAGCAAGCTAGAGAGAGAAGCAGTGGGTGGGGGGACAACTGTGGTCTGAACAATGTTTGCTGTCTAGAACGATCTTTCTATTGACTGGAAGTGCTGTGTTCAAAGAAGGCATCAATAACAGGCACTCTGGTGGTTTTGTTCCATCTGGATCTTATTGCGAGTCCATCAGACTGTCGTGGGACTCCTGCTGAATTCATGCTTCCCTTTTGACTTCCCTTTTACCGTCTGCTGAATAAGCCTTTTCAAAGTGTGTGTGTGTAGCAGTAGTGGGTGTCATCACAACAGAGCTTGTCTGAGACTGCTCATAATCTAATGCCTTTTCTGAATTTGATTATAAGGGGTAATGGTTCTAACATAAGGTTACTGGGGTTTTTGTTTAGTTTTTTTTTTTGAGCTAACAGGTTATAAGTGATAGGTATTCTTTGACTACTAATAGACCTGTCACCAGCAATAGTTTTCAATGTTTGATGATTTGCTGTGTTTTTATTATTTTGCAAGCCACCCGGAGTGGCTGGGGCAACTCAGTCAGATGGGTTGGGTATAAGTAATAAATTACTACTATTATTATTAACATAAATTATTTGCTTATTCAGCCAATTGGATGTTTTCTTTTGACCATATAGAACTAGGTATACAGAGTAATGAAACAAGCACCACAAATCACAAGGCTGCATGCAAAACCAGAAAACGCATATTTATTGGCTAGCAAATTCTTATGGAACACTCTCCCTAAGGAAGCTCTCCTGGTAATCTATTCTGTACTAAGTGAAGATGTATTTGTTTTTCCAGGTATTTGGATGTGCACTATTACTTTGCCTTATAATAGTGATCTTTGGTTTTTGTTCCTGGGGGGAGGGGGTGTTTATTTTTTAAAGTGGTTTTTTTGTGGGGGGGGGGAAGGGATGAATGATTTTAGCTTAATTGTGTTTTTCTACAAAGTACCGGTACTTCGTTATTACAAAATGCATCTCTGTATTAGGGATAATTTAATAATCTAAACTAAACTTTTCATTTATGTCTCCCTAAGGAATCGTTTCCATTATTACTCTCACTGTCCTGGCCTACGAACGCTACCTTAGAGTAGTCCATGCAAGAGTGATTGATTTTGCATGGTCTTGGAGGGCAATCACATATATCTGGCTGTATTCCTTAGCTTGGACAGGAGCACCTCTCCTAGGCTGGAATCACTACACTCTAGAAATTCATGGATTAGGTTGTTCAGTGGACTGGAGGTCAAAAGAGCCCAGCGATTCTTCCTTTGTCCTCTTCTTCTTTCTTGGCTGTCTTGTCACACCAGTTGGGATCATGGCTTACTGCTATGGACATATTCTTTATGCGATACGAATGGTGAGTTAATTAAAGCAGTAGCTTTTCTCTAGAATTCAAATGGGCAAATGCAGAGTGATCAAAATGTGATTTATGTGGATAATAATAATGTATTATTTATACCCCGCCCATCTGGCTGGCTTTCCCCAGTCACACTGGGCAGCTCTGAACAGAGTATTAAAAACTCTATAAAACATCAAACATTAAAAACTTGCCTAAACAGGGCTGCCTTCAGTTGTCTTCTAAAAGTCAGATAGTTGTTTATTTCCTTGACATTTGATGGGAGAGTGTTCCACAGGGCGGGCGCCACTACCGAGAAGGCCCTCTTCCTGGTTCCCTGTAACCTCACTTCTCACAGTAAGGAAAGTGCCAGAAGGCCCTCGGCGCTGGACCTCAGTGTCCAGGCAGAATGATGGGGGTGGAGATGCTCCCTCAGGTATACTGGGCAGACGCCGTTTAGGGCTTTAAAGGTCAGCACCAACATTTTGAATTGTGCTCGGAAACATACTGGGAGCCAATGCAGATCTCTCAGGACCGGTGTTATATGGTCTCGGCGGCCACTCCCAGTCACCAGTCTAGCTGCCACATTCTGGATTAGTTGTAGTTTCCGGGTCACCTTCAAAGGTAAACCCACGTAGAGCATGTTGAAGTAGTCCAAGCGGGAGATAACTAGAGCATGCACCACTCTGGCAAGACAGTCTGTGGTCAGGTAGGGTCTTATCTGTCGTACCATATATTGATAAGCTGACTGTACACATATTTTCACATCTTGCCTTACTTTTCCTGACAACATTCTCTCGGAAATAGTGCCCCTTATACATGTGGGCAAAATGTAGCAGCTGAATTTGATATCCTTGACTCAAAGGAGCTTTACCTAGTGCACACGCATAATCTAGTTTTCATATTTTTCCTAGTAACAGTGTGCAGTGTTACTCTCCTAAAGGGAAATGGAACAAGTCATTGGGCTGTGAATAATGTTGAGGATTTGGGTGGCTGCGCATAATGACCTTGAAACAATTTAATAGGTACTTCTGGCATGTGTCTTCTATAAGATGAGCCCAGTATTGTACTGTTAGGAATAATGTGGTTCCAAGAAAGGCTTAAGAATTGCTATCATTCAGTTCAATTAAAAAAATGCTATCCAAGTAAGCCTGTAAATACGAAAGATATTTACAAAGGAATACATAAAATCAAAATTGATGGAACTTATTTCCAAGTAAGCATGCTTAGTATTGAATTGTTAAACCATTGAAATAGATTGTTCAAGAATTAATAATACAATATTATTACATACTTGTTTGAATAATGCAGAAAGTCACACTAGGTAATTTTACATGTATACAATCACATGTATATGTGTGATTGTAAATAAAATCAATAAATCTATAAAAAATTCTAGTATTGGTAATTACAGGGACTCTATAGGGATTGACATAAAATCGCTGTAGCTCAGTACATAGTGAGTTTCTGCTTTTAATGTTTTTGTTGGTGTAACTGAACAATAACGGATAACAAAATGAAGGCTCTATGGCACCTTATAGACATAACAATTATTATGGCATACGTTTTCATGGACAGGAGGTAACTTAATCAGTAGTCTTCAAAATTATTCCATAGATCTGTTAGTCACAAGACCCTGATTTTGCTGCAATAGATTAACACAGCTATTTTTCCAGAAGTCAGGGCATCATCAGAAATCTTATTTAAATGAAGCTGGTGAGAAGGATGATGCCTTAATAATATTTGAAACGTGGTTAGCTGTCAAATAATAAGACCACTTACAATGGCATTCTTCTCTCTGAAGGATTTGGAACTGAATGCTCTTTCAAATATGTACTGTTTGATTGTTTTTCATTATTTTTCTTTGCAGCTTCGTTGTGTTGAAGATTTGCACACTGTCCAAGTGATCAAGATCTTGAGATACGAAAAGAAAGTAGCTAAAATGTGTTTTTTAATGATGACCACCTTTCTTATCTGTTGGATGCCTTATGCAGTGGTCTCCCTTTTAGTAGCCTATGGGTATGGCCACCTTGTCACTCCAACAGTGGCTATTATCCCATCTTTATTTGCCAAGTCAAGCACTGCCTACAATCCAGTTATCTATATCTTCATGAGCAGAAAGGTAAGCAGCTGAAAAGCAGAGTTACTTACTGAGGCCGAAAGGATCGCATCTAATGCATTATGCAATAGAGGTGGTCTTCCTCCCGACATAAGCACAACATTGCAGAAATTACACATAGTATTATCTTGCATCTATAGGAAAACAGGCAAGAAAGGCACAGAAGGCAAGACCAACAGAATTTCTTTGGGGGAGAAAAGGAACAGTGAAACTTGACCAGCATAAAGCTTCCTAGTAACTTAACAAGGGTGCTGTTCCTTTTACCACTTGCACCATATATAGGCTCAAAGCATGTCTGGTGGATGTTCTAGTTGCCGTCCTTGCATCCAGGGCACTGATTCATGAGGATGAAGAGGATGTGCTAGGGAACACCTGGAATTGTAAGTCTAGTGTGAGCATACAAGGGAGCCACCCTAGTTATTTGGGTTTCCACCAATTTCAACTCAGGAACATGAAATGAAGCTGAATCACTGGAAGGTTCAGAATGGTAGACAAAAGTGCTTTTTCACATAGCACATAGTTAAACTTCAGGATTCATGCCAACAGCAGGTAGTGATGTCCATGGATAACTTTAAAAGAGGATTAGAAAACTTAATGGAGGCTAAGGCTATCGATGGGTACTAGCCACAATGGCTATGTTTTGCCCCAACTGTTGGAGGCCATATTCCTCCTTGGATACCAGTTGCTGGAAACTGCAGGAGGGCCAAACTGCCTTGCAAAGCCCACTCTTATGTGAAGTGTGTTACAGTAGTAAAGTCTGGAGGTGACAAGGGCATGGACAACCAAGGCAAGATCTGACTTCTTTAGGAAGGGTTGTGGGTGGTTCAAGCTAGTAAAAGGCACTCCTGGCTACCTGCAGCACCCAAACTTCCATTCAGTCCTGTTGTGAAAACAGCAGCATCCCCAAACTTTATCCAGTTCTGTGAAGGACAAGATGAGCACCTCTGCACAGGCTTGCAGGTTCTCCCACCATTACTTCTGCTTTGTCTGGATTAACCTTCAGGTTGTTCCTCTTGTCTAATCCAAAATAGCCTCCTACTACCCGTTTAGAAGTCCACAGGCTGTCAGTGGGAAAGAGGTAAAGCTGAATCCCATCTGCATGCTGATGAACCTTCAGCCCAAACCTCTGGATGACTTCTAGCAAGTTCATGTAGATATTAAGTAGCATAAGGGACAGGATGGAACATGTGAAACAGCTAAATGGGATGGAGGCACCCCGTAGACAACTGACAGTGTAGCAGAACCAGTGACAGAAGTTTTCTGGAATATTATGCTATGTACAGATTAGGATAACTTGTGTTGAGGAATTTTCATTGCAAAATTTTTGGCTGCCCTGGGGAGTAATCTAATTTAGCATGTTTATTATACTTCAATTTAGTAAACAAAGTTTAAAAAACTTTGAAATTGCCAGGCTTGCTCCATGACACTTGCCTAATATTGTATTTGCAATTGGCATTCATTCATTGCTGTGAAAGAGTGTACAAAGTTGAAAACTTTCTGTGGAAAAGTAGAGCACCAGAAAATATTTCACCCTACACCACTGGGTGGAACAAAAGTCTCTCAATATGACTGTTAGGGTGCCTCTGATCCTTAATAGATTGTCAGTCCCTATCACTTTGCCTCCTAAGCTCAGCCCATGGAGTACAGGAGTATACCATGGCAATTCAGAATTAGATATATAGTAGTGACTTTAGGTGGGCTTTATAAAAGCTACTGAAATATGAGCATGCTAATTCATCCATGGGGATTGAAGAGCGGAGTTTTCCTTTGATAAAATGAGGCAATCATTTTGGCTGTTATCTGTTCTGTTCTGCGCCTGGATCTTGCATTAGCTGCTATTGAAGTCTAAATAGGTTAATAGAAGCAGCTGAAATTCATTATGACTGATGAAGTGCTGTAGATTCCCGCCCCCCCGCCTGCCGCCGGATGGTATTATATATGCTAGATATGATCTAATCCATCCTAAGTCAAAGAGAGGCCAGTTTGCATTAATGCTTTTGCACCCATTGAAAAGAAATTCCTTCTGGGGAGCTTTCTTGCTCACCCTTCACCATATGGTAGGCTGATGCAGTGGCCGAACATATGGAATTATCCTATAATGCAGAAGTAAGAAACCTCTGGACCTCCAGCTGTTTTGGACTCTGACTCCCATTGTCTCTGACCACTGGCCATGGTCAGATGGAATTTGAGATCCATTACCTGGAGGATCACTGGTTCCACCCCATCCCTGTTCTAATGTGTTGGTGCAAATCAAGATTGTCACACGTGCAGATACCTGGTCTGCTGCCAGCATGAAAACTGAAAGTACAGCTTTTCCATGTATGTTTGGGAAGCTATTGAAGGAGAGTTATCAAGCCACTGTACTCTAGTGTACCACATGTGTGTAACACTCAGCAGGCTCTGACAACTGATTTTATGTGGCACCTATGTCATTCTGGTATAGGCAGTGTGAAAGTGTCGCTTTCTGAATGACGGGTTTTCACTGTAATTTGCTCCCCTTGCAGTTTCGGCGATGCCTCATGCAGCTCTTCTGTGTTCGCCTCCTGAGCTTCCAGAGGCGCTTGAAAGAAAAGCCAGCAGTAGGGAACGAGAAACCGATAAGGCCCATTGTTGTGTCCCAGAAGGCAGGCGACAGGCCAAAGAAGAAAGTGACTTTCAGCTCTTCCTCAATCATTTTTATTATCACCAGCGATGACACGCAGCAGATAGACCACAGCACGAAATACACGGGCACAAAAATAAATGTAATCCAAGTGAAGCCACTGTAGGGGCTCCCGGGATTCGAGCAGACTTCTGCTAACCAAACTGTTAGACTATCTTTGTGGCACAATTAGGAAGAGCAAGCACCGTCTTTCAGAAGCAAGATGTGGAAGTAATTCAGACTGCAATCCTTCACTTGTGTACCTGAGAATAAGTCCCATTGAAATCATTGGGGACTACTTCTGAGAAGAAAAGTGTAAGATTGCCCTGCCGCCAGCCTCAAGCTCTCTGTAACATGTTAATTGTTGTGGCAGTACTGAAACAATGACACGTGGCGGATGGGCCGGTTTTTATTTTATTTTACTTAGAATATTTATTTTTCCATATCATGTCTTGATCACCTACTTACCTATCCCTTGCTGCACTGTACACGAACCAGGGAAATAAAGGAGCTTCTAAAGTAGGCCATAGTTCCTTCAGCAAGGCCTCGCTGATTTATTTCTTTTTAAGCAATGTCTGGTGCTGTATTTTAACATGGTGTGATGTCGCAAGCCGGTTTGAGCCCGCTTGGCAGCTTCAAGCACTTGTCTTGAATTCAGTGTAGGGGTACATATAGGCAGTGGCGTTTTGGGGTTTTTGTATTTTTTGTAGGCCAAGCTTCCGCCTCATGTCCGAACAGGTGGCAGCTCAAAAGCAAAATAAATTAGCTCCTAAAGGAAATTGTATCTTAGTGGTGTGGCATTCCTGCCTCCCCTTTAAAACTGAACTGATTATCTTTGCGAGAGCTGAGATAGTTAGCAACTGGCATCTCCCTTACAGCCGCCCATAAGAAGTGCTTGCGCTGAATATATTTAAGCAGAGAGTGGTAGCGCTTCAGGCAACTGCGAATTCCAAAAGGTGCGTGAACATTTGTTACAAGACATGGATGATGCTGTAGTGGACCTTCTCTGAGGCGGGCGCAGAAGTTCAAAACAAATGAATGATTCAAAAGGGCAAACAGTCAAAAGGGCCTAAGGGCCAAACTATATGTGAAGCTGGATGCATGACTGAAATGCTGTGTTTTTATTTTATTACTAACAGTTGGGAGGGGGGATTAACCCTTCTCCCACTGCATTCCCAACAAAAATCATAGTGACTCCACTATGAAGAGAGGTTGCAGTACTCGTGGTTTCTTAATTTAGAGAAAAGGTGCGTCAGAGATTACATAGCAGACACATATAAAATTATGCATGGTGTGGAGAAAAAGGACAGCAAAAGGTTTTTCTCCCTCATAACCCTAGGATTCATGGACATCCCATGAAGTTGAATGTTAGAAGATTCAGGACAGGTACTTATTCACACAGTGCATAGCAAAACTCATTTAACATCATGTCTGGTTTCACACAAACATGCAGAACATACAGGATTATGGTGCGGGATTATGGCCAGTGCTTGAAATACTGTATACTTACATTAATAGTTTGTATAACTACATACTGAATACAATGAAATAAGACTAAATATTTAAAATAGGAAATAATAAGCAAAAGCATATACATTATAGGAATGCTACTATAAATGTAGTACCCATTTGCAATAGTCTCTAACACTTGTCATTGTAATGCAGAGAAGTGAGTGGATGAAGGACTTGGTAGTATTGCAAAGCCTTTACTGTGGTGTTTATATATATATAGTTGGAAGCTGCTCAGAGTGGTTGGGAAAACCCTATCAGATGGGCAACATATAAAATTATTATTATTATTATTATTTATTATTATTTATTATTATTTTATTCGGCTTCTAGAAACATTGCATCCTCTCTGCAGGATTCCTATGAGTGAAGTTGAGGCCATACACTGTTGGGTGGAAGGCAAGTTTGCTGTCACCGTAATAGTGCCCCCAATCACATTGTTTTCCTAATAGGACTGGATGGCAGTCAGTTACATAGGACAAAGTAAAGGGTGCGCTGGAATGGGAGCAAATCTGCTTCCTGTCTCTGGTCACCTCAGTGATTGGGGTCCCAGACACTCTTCTATGTCTTTACCAAGAGCTAGAACCCAGCAGAGAGATAAATGGAATCTTGGGAAATGAAAATTTATCTCGTCCTTTACTAACTTTGATGTTCAGGTTGTGCACATCATTGCTTAGGTAGGCAAACAGCCTATGCAACCACAAACACAAGGTCTCAGCAGGCTTGGGAGAACCTCAATGATTGTAGATGTATTTGTTTATTATATTTATTTATATCCTGCCTTTTTCCTTTACACGGACTCAAGGTGACCTGCAGATGATGATGATGATGATGATAATGATAATAATGATAATAATAATAATAATATATTAATAAATTAATATTTTTTTATATAGCAGAGGGAAATTAATCTGAGCCTACTCCCGTGCCAAAGTGATAATTATGGCAACTGCACCATACCAGTTCCCTGACATACATGTGAATTTATAGGGAAAGAGAATCCAAATTAACTGGAAGAAACTAGAATGATGGGAACACAAAGGATCCAGAGTGCTGTTGCTCAAACCACATAAATAAATAGTGCACTGCCTGTGTGGGTTAGTTTCTGTGGCTTTGTGGGGAGAAAGTTGATGTATAGCACCATCTGCTGGACACCATGAGATAATTAACCCAGAGTCTCCTTGTCCTGTGTGGAATATACAGAAACAAGTGAAACCTACAACGAAATGCTGCAGCGTGGAGTTCTCCTGTTTCAGATATTCCTTTCCTTTCCCTCCTGGTTCTTCAATGCCCTCCCCCAAATAATCAGCATTCTGTAGCTTCTGAACACACTCAAACTACACTGGGCTGTTTTTTTGTTTTTTTTGTGTGTGCTGGCTGTTGACATCCATCTGTCTCGAGAGACAATGGAGTGCACTTCTGGAAGCAAAGCCAACCATTGGGGAATCACAGCACCTGCTGTGGCTGCAGAGACCGCTAACTTGTATTTGCCACCTCCCACGTTGTTTTTGTTGTGTTGGCAGCACCGAAGAAACCTCTCCAGGGCACAAGCCTGGGCGATGTGTGTATGGAGGTCCTGTTTTGCCCAGATGACAAGACTCCTCTCTTGGTCTTACTGATGTTGTCCAAAGGAAAGCAGAGCAATACATTTGGCACCAGCTTGGCTGCAGGAGTTGCTGGAAGGAGGCGTACAAGGTGCCATCCAACCGCCTTTTCTTCTTCTATAAAAACGTTTTCCACTTCTGTAACCTTGGGATTATTCCCCCTGACCCTGCTGAGACCTCCCTTGTATGCCTGGATGGTGCAGTTTGGGCTAGCAGGGATAAGTACTTGAAGAATTACTATTAGTATGTCTTGGAGTAATCAACATGGAGCGCTTTGGCCCTTCATCATCCCTGAGCACTGGTAATGCTTCTTGGGAGTCCAACCACATTCTGACAGGTTTAGTCACCTCTGCAGAATACCTCATAATATTAGTTACTGGAGATTCAAAGTAGGAGAGGCTGATATAACCTGCTTGTGTGCTTCCCATGAACACCTGGTTGGCCACTGGCAGAACATAACATTGGGTGAGACTGGCCTTTAGTCTGATCCAGCAAGGCCCTTCTTATGTCCTTATATCTGCAGGAGGGAAGAGTACAGAGACTGGGCCACCAATCACAATAGTAATCTCGATAACATCCATATTATATCCCATATAGCCAGCTCCCCTCAAAAAAACCCAATAACAAACATTTGCAGGCTTGCAGACACTTGTGGACTTCTGGAAAGTTTTGTGGGTGCAAGTCACAAAATGGCTGCAATGTGGCATTGGAAAAGTAAGAACTTCAGAGTTAAAAAGAAAAAGATCCTCTTCTATTTGCATGATATTAATATGGGATTTCTCCCTTCAAATGTAGGTCTCCAAAAATCACAGCTCTGGCATATGTTTGCACCACCATGGCACAAAACATGGATCTCTGGGTTTTTACAAGCCCCGCCTCCCCAACCAACAAATTAAAGTTAACATTGATGTCTCTGCCTGACATTATAAAAATTACCAATCCAGTATTTACCAGATCTGCTGTGACACAAAAGCATGGAGCAGGAAGCATGGATCCCGATGGATCTTTGTGTATTTGCATTGGCCCCTCTCCCGCACCAAACCAAAGAAGACATCTGTGGACACAGATATGATCTGTGTATTGATGGCAGTGTTCAGGGTTTCCTTGTAAAAAACAATGAAGGTCCATGAGGTTCTGTGCAGGTATGAGGCTGAGAGACTGGCTCAAGGTGAACATTCTGGCTAAATGAGGATTTGAACCTTGTCTCCTGGGTCCAACACTTTAACCAGCCTTTGCCAACCTGGTGCCCTCCAGCTGTTTTGAACTACAACCCCCAGCAATCCCAGCCAGCAACTAGGATTGATGGGAGTTGTTGTCGGGTGTGTGTGTGTGTCAGGGCAGAGAAGTGGATGGCGTCAGAATGGTGAAGGCTGCTCTCACCACCACGTCACACTAGTTGAATACGGTGCATTTTAAAATTAAACTGGTTTTGAATAGGTGAAAGAAGACAGCGAAGAGGAAAGATACTCTAAAGAAGAGAATCAGTCAATTGTCTGTGGCCTCTGTGCTTAAGGAGGAATCGGAGCAGTTCTCTAAAAGGGATGGTGTTCTTTTAGTACACGCGGCATTAGTTAAATCTGTATATTTATTTAGATTGCATTTACATCCTACCTTTTGCTCTAGAGAAGCTTGAGGTGGTGTACATGTTTCTCCCTCTCCTCATTGAATGCCCTCAACAACCCTGTGAGGTAGGTCAGGCTGTGAGTTACTGACTGGCCCAAGGTCACTCAGTGAGCTTCATGGCTGAGTGGGGATTTGAACCCTGGTCTCCCAGGCCCTAGTCTGGCACTCTAACCACTACACCACACTGGCTCTGTAAGGACGTCTGTATGCAGGATTACTGCATTGTGGGGGGTTGGGTATTATTATTATTATTATTCCCTGCCCATCTGGCTGGGCTTCCCCAGCCACCCTCAAGGTCCCTTCCAATTCTATGATTCTAAGTGTATCTGTGGAAAATAAATATTACCAGCACTTTTCATATTCCATAAGTATTTAATCTGATTTAAATTACAGCTGAATAGCAGGACATTTGCAAGAGACATTGGGAAGTTTCTGCACCTTAGTTAATGGTATTTTATCATCTTTTGCTGAGAAACGAATTCTTATAAGGAATGCTTCAGCAAAGAACCTTCTATACTGTGTGCATAAGTAAACTACAGAGGGAGAACTGTTTCTCTCTGTGCCCTCCTCTGGTTCCTGCAGCTCCACTATAGTTCACACAGACACCTGCGATAACCAATAACCGTGAGAATGCTATTAAATGTGAATAGTAACAAATTACATCAAATTCCTAGCATGCCGCAGAGTTTACTAAAGTGCAGGATCTCCCTCTAGTGGCAAATGGATCTCATTATAGTAGGCAACAAAATGTGTGACAGGAACAAAACAAATATGGGGCTCATCCAGATGACCTGCATATTGATTTTCTCACACAAAGCTTGCACTGATGTTAGACTATACACAGTCGTGTGGTTAGGTTATACAACACTTAGTTTGCTTGTGTGGAGTTCACACGTCTTTCCATTAAGTATTTGTTCATCCCACAAATTTCAGTGCCTTTTCCCACTACTCTGCTAACCACAGAAAATGATGTTGT